CTCAGCGTACGAAACAAATCTCCTTCAATACTACGACAAGTAAAGCCACAACTTGGCTGGTGATAACCTAGAGTCTGCTTTGTTAAAATGTTCTGTGCTGGAGCATGCCTTCTTCAGCATCTAGGTTTAAAGAGAAGGGCGATGACTAGAAAGGTAAATGCCGCACGTGGAGAAGAGGGATATGTTTGTCTGCGTTGTGCTTTGCTTGATACCACATCAGTCTCTTAGAAACAAAAGTCTACAGTACTGTTTTATTAAGCATTTCATAGATTCTTTAAAATCTGAAGTAAAGATATCCGGAGGTTAAAGTTTCAAGGTCTTAGTAGGTCGAAACAAGGTGACAGCCAGTCGCTCAGAGCACGGCACTTTCTCGTGGGGACCACAGTGAAATTTTTTCACCTCACCTCGCTAAATGCTTCAGAGAAAACGTTCGTTTGCAATGATGCATTGTACTTTGTCTTATTTACAAACGGAAAACAAAAAAAACGAGTGTTAAAGGTGTAAAAGCAAGCTCAGGAAATTGAGCCTTTACTCGTACCTCTAACGTTCATGTACAACATGGAAAAAGGACAGATAACAGATCTCAACAAAGTAACTGAGTGCAGCGCAATTAAGGACCATACCGTGTTGTTATCAGCATCAGTCGGAGCAAAGCTCATGAAGGCATGTCTGAAGTGAGACCCTTCCACTAAATACGGCCATTGCACGAACACCAGTAAGCAGAGAAGGAACGTGGATGAATGAAGTGTCATCTTTGGTAGCCTTCCGTTTCTATTGAGCCACTCCAAAGAAAATGATTATCATATAACTGGTAAATCTATTTAACGAGACACGCTAGACAGAGCCTAAGTTAAACCATGTCAACCAATATTACTCGCGCGTATCCAAGGTAACCAACAAAAGAAGTCTTGAAGCCATACAAGATATACAATATCTTTTGTTCATAAACTATGGATGCATTTGCTTCTTCATTTGATACTTTGTCATATCGTTAAGGAGAGGCCTTTGATTGAGTGGTAGAGTTGACAGAGGTAGTTTGATGCAGAAGCTAAGATATCACCTACCAAAGCAGGCATATCTAACTACCTCAGTACAATATAAAAGAGTTCAGTTGCCTTAGCATGAAACCTCAGTGTAGGTCTAGTAAATATGAATACAGAGTAGCCACTTATGAAATAAGTAAATCGAATCATTTCTATAATAACAACATATAATTTAGTTGTTACAAATCATATTTTACTTCTGCTCAGTCATGAGTAAAGAGAAAGCTTATGCTCGGTATATTTCACAACCTAATATAATACAATTAAAGTAGTTTGCTGCAAATGCATAGCAATCAATTTTTTTTCTCAGAGCGTGGGCATTAATAACGTGCCTGGTGCGTGAGAACATGGTTGCCTCTGGTGAAAAATTAATATTAATTAGATTCTGAAGCGCGTTCAAGCGCGTTTGAATTTCAAAGGTTTTGCGACCGCCATATTCCAGAGTCATTAAATCCTGTAATAAATGTAAATTAATTAACTTGTACCCTCAAAATTCAAATTTTTAGTATATGAAAAACTAATTGCATCAGGCATATACTGCAAAACACTATATCCACTTGAGACGTACGCCTGCTGTGAGCTAAACAATATTATTATGTCACGTCCAACGCTTTAGTTAAAGATTGGCTTTGCAGTGGGGGCAACCATGGGAAGAATGCTCCTTAGCAATTGAGAGTTCGATCGAGAATAATAACAATGAAACTACTATTTGTAAGTCTACGGTGTATGTCTCAACCATCAAATCACCTCCACGCTTGATATTATTGTTGTTCGTTCTACTCAGCACGATTCTGATGAGCTGACCCCGCTTTTAGGAAGGTAGAGACTGGTGATAACATCGCATAGTCAGACAGGTGTAATACTGAGACATGCAACTTGTGGTTATTTTTTTATTTTGATTAATAAATTTCGACCTTAATCTGCCTTCTCTGCAATTCTGAGTGTTCACCTCCACAAGTCGTCACGATACATTAACAGTCAAACTTAAGTATATTAATGAAGAGTATTACCTACTTCTTTGAACACTTCATTTGTTAGTTCAGGAGAACCAGACTCTCGATTGAAAACATCACGCGTGCCTAACGTAGAGTGTACAACGTTCTTTATTTAAATTTATTTCTCTAAGTATTGAAGGTTTCTGTAGCCGTTGGTCGTTTTACAACTGTTTCGAAGCAAGTATATAATTTAACTCAAAAGCAATTGATTATTTTGTTTTCTTTTTCTGAAAACGACAACTGTCAGTGACTTTGTACCGTCACTGCATTTTTGATGAAGTGGGTGGTTTTATTCTTCAAATACCGTTCCAGTCAGTACCTTTTCTCAAAAGACGGTTCTTCAATATACTTCATACACGCACGTTTCAGTAACTTAACACAGTTGCCCTCATTAGATTCTTTATCGTGGAAAGTTAATGAAATCAATGGCTATCAACTAAGACGGAAAAACTGGAACATTAATCGAAGTGGACGGATGTGGTTTAGAAAGCTTTGGTGTTTAGAGATAAATTGTAAATTTGAATGAATGATAACAAAAACCGCAGTCTTTCCAAGAAATGCCCACAGTTGACTGCGTCAAAGAAGATATAGAGTTATTCTCATTTAGTTGAGAATATCGTTGATCAAAAATGTTAGAAAACATATTTACAGTGTTCAAGCAATTGCAAAAAGAGCAGGATTAAGTGCATCACGCTAATGGCAGACAGCCGGTGACTGGAGACTAGAGACTCCATACCAGCGAAACTTTTCATTTAATTTTTTTTAATTATGTTCATTGTTTTTGTTTATTTTCGCCTCATTAATATGTATTTTCAAACTTTGTTCTTATAAACGTTACTGAACTTACTATAATTTACATTTGATAGTGGTGACATGTCGTCGCCGAAACGTCATGTTTCTGAAATTGATAATAATTCTCCTCTGTAAGCATGTAGAGAAACTTATGAATATGAACGGACTACTGGAAAGAACGCGACTTTACAGAAACTAGACACAGCTGGCTGGGCCAATATATAGAGAAACAAGCTCGATATTCTCTTGGCTAAGTATCTCTTCAACGTGAAGAAGATCAAAGTAGGAATAGAAAAATGTACAGTTTGAAGATCAGTAGCATGCTGCCCCTTACTAGCTAAGAGATTTAAAAGCGAAGAAGTCAGTCAATTGTGCCGTATACCTCAAAAGAGGAGACCAGTAGCAAAAAATCAATGAAGCAATCATGGTTTGGCAACATGTACTGAAGCTTTTTGCGGATTAAAGGATCATACATACACACAAACAAAAAAGAAAAAAAAAAAAGAAATTTCTGTAACAATGGCGTACAAAAGCGTACTATTTTAAACAAGTTAAAAAATACAAAGCCAGCAGAGGCTCAATTATTTACAAATTTCGTCAATACTTAAAAAAAAAATTAGGTAAGAGGTTCGATCATTTGTTCTGTTTCAGTGAAAGAGAGTGAGTTCTTAAAATCTGGAGTAAAAGATTCCTAGAGCTTAGAGTGTCAAGGTCTTAGTGGGTCGAAACAAGGTGACAGCCAGTCGCTCTGAGCAGGCTGTCTTGTGGTGCCTGAAGTGAAATTTCCTCTCGTTACCTCGCTTAGTGCTTCAGAGAAGAAGTTCGTTCGCAATAATGCATTACATTACGAGTCTTATGCGTGTCAAGGCAAGCTCAGAAAATTGAGCCTTTACTTGTACCGGCTAATGTTTTTAATACACGTGAAAACGGTAGACAACATATCTCAATAAAGTGGCTCAAAGGCGCGTAAGTTAGGACCATACCGTATTGTTATCAGCATCAGTCGGAGCAAAGCTCATGAAGGCATGTCTGAAGTGAGACCCTTTCACTAAATATGACCACTGTACGAACACCAGTAAGTAAAGAAGGTGCGTGAAAGTATGAGGTGCCATCTTGGATAACCTTCTTTTTCGATTGACCCACTCCAAAAAAAAATTACCATATAACTGCTAAATTCATTTCACCAGGCATGAGCCATGTCAATCAAGATTACTCGCGCGTATCCAAGGTAACCAATTAAAAAAGTCCCAAAGCCACGCAAGACATACAATATGTTTTGTCGATAAACTTGGAATGCAAAAGATTTGTTTATTTAATTATCATTTTATCTTATCACGGAAAGGCCTTTGATGAATAACTAGAGTTGACAAAGGTAGTCTGGTACACAAGCTTAAAGATCACCTGCCAATGTAGGTCTATCTAACTACCTCAGTGCAATTTGAATAAGTTCAGTTCAAGTTACCTTGGCATGAGATCTCAGAGAAGATCAGGTCAACATGAATACAGAGTAGTCACTTATCTCTTTCATAACAACAAATAATGTGGTTAATACAACTTTGTTATATTATGAGTGCTGAGGAATATTTTTATCCATGCATTTCACAGCCTAAGAGAATGAAATAAAGACAGTTTGGCACACGTGAATAGCAATCACTTCTTTTTTCTCAGGGCGTGGGCATAAATTACATGCCTAGTGCGTGAGAGCATTGTTGCCTCAGTTAAAACATTCATATCAATTAGATTCCGAAAGCACGTTTTAATTTTAGATATACATATCTCAAAGGTTTGAAGGTTTCTGTAGCCGTTGGTCGTTTTACAACTGTTTCGAAGCAAGTATATAATTTAACTCAAAAGCAATTGTTCATTTTGTTTTCTTTTTCTGAAAACGACAACTGTCAGTGACTGTGCCGTCACTGCATTTTTGATGAAGTGAGTGGTTTTATTCTTCAAATACCGTTCCAGTCAGTGCCTTTTCTCAAAAGACGGTTCTTCAATGTACTTCATACACGCACATTTCAGTTACTTAACACAGTTGCCCTCATTAGATTCTTTATCGTGGAAAGTTAATGAAATCAATGGCTATCAACTAAGACGGAAAAACTGGAAATAAT